GTTCATGACTGCTCATGCTAACATCTCACCTTGCTCAAACCCCGTGTGCTCCTGGGCTTGGACGGCCTGTTTCAGATTTGCGTGAAGGTGTGCAATGAAAAGTGGAATGTCTTCCGCCGCTACACCCATTTCTACGATTTGCACAGGTGAACACAGGACAGCCAGCCACATGCTTGCTCGGCCGCAAATGCGCGCATGTTTTACCACACAAAATACACGCACACTCTCTGTCTCTCTGTCTCTCTGTCTCTCACTCACACAACACATCACACGCACACACATATCACGGTTGTGGCGTGCCTGCAGGCAAGTACAGCACATCTTCCCCGAGGCGAATCTGCGCCTTCCACAGAAGAAATCGCTTGTGCGCAAAGGACCAAAGTTCATTGAGCAGCGCCGCCTGGGCCTCGAGCAGTACATGCGGTGCGGACAGGAAGGGAGCGGGGTGGGAGGTGGGGTGGTGGTGGTGATGATGATGATGATGATGATGATGATGATGATGATGATGATGATGATGATGATGATGATGATGATGATGATGATGATGATGATGATGATGATGATGATGATGATGATGATGATGTGTGTGTGTGTTGTGTGTACATGCATGTGCTTCCTTCTTCACAGTCTCTCATCCTGATACGACACTTCGTTTGCCACCACCACCTTCCCATGTATTCCACCGTCTCGCCCCTCCCCCTCAACCCCATCTTGATAGGGACGTTGTCAGCCTGTGCGTGACGCAGCCACGCTCCCCTCTGCTGAAGGATCCGTCCAAGCGCTCTCTGTGCGAGGCGCTGCCGTTCCTCAAGGAGCGAATGGGCAGGTGAGCTGCGAGCATACACATGAACATTCGCGCATACTCAGTTTGATAGTGTACGTGCGCATGCACTCGCGTCCGCACACTCACTCGCGTCCGCACACTCACTCAAACACACACACACACACACACACACACACACACACACACACACACACACATACACACATACACACACACGCACACTCACTCACTCTCACACACACGCACTGGCGCCTTGACAGGAAATCAAACCGCAATTCTGAGACATCGTACTCGGGGCTGTGAAAGATCAATCACATGCAAACACACACATACACACACCTTCAAAGCACGTCCACCTGCTTCCGTTATCCCTCCCTTTCCTGCTGCGTTGCTTTGCGCCTAAATGGTTGTCGTTAGTCTTGTTGTTGCAATCTGCTTGTTTGCTTGTTGCTTTGTGTGCGTCTCGGTTTGCATGCGCTTAGTTTGGTCTTGCATGCATGTGTGCTTGTGCTGGCGTGCCTTCTCCTCCCGTTTTGTCGCACACACGCGCACGTTTGTGCTTGGTGCATTCATTGGCTGGTTGTGTATTGCATGCCGTACCACACCAACCACTGGACGAGAAGAGGAGTACACACGAAGCGTCCACATGTACCAACAAAACGAAAGTCTACGATGAACAAAACAACACAGCTCCACAAGCATTTCAGCACCACTCTTCTTCTTCTTGTTCAAGCATCCCTCGCTCACCTCCCCTTTGTAACCTGCTTCCTGCTTACGCTTTCACTTCTGAACGCAACACACGAACATCCACAGCTCACCCATCACCACCGTCAACTAATCATCATCGTCACCACCACCACCACCATCATCGTGTCCACTCAGTTGTATGCCTCGACGAGTTGTGACATGGGTCCGTCGAGATCAGCCCGCATGGCGAGCACCGCGCCTGCCAATGGGTGGTGGGTGGCGTGTTGAGGCGATGGGCGATGAGCGGGAAACACGAGAGGTCACAGAAGCACATGGAAGAACCGTAAAGACCACAAACACACGTGCGCCCACCCTTCTCCCCTTCGCACCGATTGCTGCTTCGTCATCGGCGGCGAGCACGAACGTCAACACAAGCGGCCCAAACAGCATTTGCACAACCTGGGGCCACGCAAGAATACAGCACACGTACAGGTAGGGGGGAGGGGAAGGGTGATTGAGAGAAACGAAACCACGCGCGCGCACACATATACAGGGCCACAGAGACGGAACACACACACACACACACACACACACACACACACACACACACACACACACACACACACACACACACACACACACAGACCACCACAATCATACATCAACCCCAACACACTTACGTTTCCTGACGCGGCTTGCAACACGGCAGCTTTGAGGGCTCCAAAGTTCAGCGCGGGCAACTGCAAGGGGTTCACACCCCGCCATTGAAAAAAACACGAGTCAGCCCAAAGCGAAGCGAAACAGCCGTCACAGCACAGGCAGGCGACGCGCATGCCTTCACGCGCACATGCAGCGACACATCTGTACATACCCTGCGGTTCATGGCTTTTGCAAGCTCTGGAAGGAGCTGGACATTGTGCAGGCGATTCCGGGGCTCGGATACAGTCGCTGTCGACCAGCCGACACACAACATCACAAGCAACGAAGAAAAGTTTGGTGAGCTACAGGCGTGAAGATGTTCCAGCACGCTCACCATGGTCACGCGCAATCTCACAGCCCATAGACGAAGCTCCAGGTAGACACACACACACACACACACACACACACACACACACACACACACACACACACACACACACACACAAAAGGAGGCATGTAATTACACGTGAATATACGAGCGCATGCGCAAATCAGTGCCCACGCGCCGCCTCCATGTCTCACCTTCGCAGATCAATCGGCCCTGCACGCTCGACAGCATGACTTGGTCAACCTGATCTCGCCTGCACATACACGTATCGATAGCCGAAGCAATGCAACACATCATACCACAACAGAGCCAAATACCATGCCCTGGTGAGCCACTTTGCTGGAGCACCACCAAATGCATCCTCCTCCTCCTCCCCCTCCTTCATAGATCAGACACACACCACGACCCTGTCGAGGACGTTTATGTCTATGCACATGGCAATTCAACAGTTATGCACAGGTAAAGCAAGTGGTACACACAGCATCAAACAAGCACCCAAGTATGAAACAAAAGCAAGGGCTTTCCCCGCTCCCTCACTCGTCATCATCATCCAACACACATCATTCAACGGCAAGCAACAAGGTAGCAAGCAAGTAAGCAAGCACAGCCAAGACTCACAGCAGCGAGCGCACAAACTCCTCAGTCTGCATGTTGTTGTTGTCGCCTTCTCCAAACCAGCGGGTGCGATTGTAGAAAATTATGTGAAAATGTCGGCTAATTGTCGTAGTTGAACAGCAGCATGTCCTCCTCATCGCTCACATCAGCGTCACCACCACGATTGTTGTTGTGCTGCAGTTCACGGCTCATCGTGCCGCCTCGACGACCATGAGTGCCATCAGTGTCGGTGACAGGGCCTGGTGTTGACGTATCAGTGTCAGCAACAGCATCATCAAAGTTTGGCGCGGGAGGTGGGAGCGAGCGGTGAGCATCATCATCAGCATCGCCTGTAGTTTGGGAGGCGCGTGGTGATGAGGCAGTGTTCGCCCTCAGCTGCTTGATGTGGGAGCGTGTGTGCTGCACGTCATCGTGGTGCTTCTTGCTGAACTTGAAGGCGGGCGTGTCTTCGAGGCTGGCGTCCTGGTAGTGGTAGCGGTGCTTCTCCACGTACTCCCGAATAAACTCGTCAAGCGACACCCAGCCCCCGCCAACACGCACCATGAAGTTGTTGCCGCGCTGCGCCACATTCACCACCTTGAAGTCGTTTCCATACAGGAACCGGTACTTGCCCCGGCCAAGGAACGACACGTGCTCGTCCCCAAGCCCGTGCTTCTGCAGCACGTCAGACACCGCCCTGTGCACCGCGTCCTTCGACGCCTTGACAAACGCGCTGCTCAGCCGCCGCGATGGCGTCTCCGGGCGTGGGGACCGCGCCACCCTGGACGACGACGACGATGTCGACGACGCCCGCCGCTGCAACCGCTCCCGCAGCGCGTCAAGTTCCTTCTGCAGCCGCGCAATCTCCTCCCTCGCCTCCGCAAGCAGCGCACGCGTCTGCTCCAACTCCGCCGTCAGCGCCGCCACCTGCTCGGCTGCGGGCCGCATGTCCTCCAACTCCTGGTGTGCGGCCGCAACCTCCTCCTCCGCCCGCGCCGCGCGTGCCATCGCCTCCTGCAGGTCTGTGCGCAGCTGTGCGGCTGCTGCAGCCTCTTCCTCCACCGCTGCCGCCCACTCCCGCCGTTGCTGCTCCACCTGTGCCTCCAGGGCAAGGGCCTTGGCCTCAAGCTCGGCAACCTGCTGCGACAGGCGCCGGTTCTCTGCCTGGGCAGCGGCAGCGCGCGCGTTGCCTTCGTCCTGCTTGCTCTCCTCGCACGCCCTCAGCGCACGTGTCAGCTCATCAACACGTGCTTGAAGGCGCGCAATCTCATCAGCACTGGATGCGGCTTCAGACTCCAGCCGCGTAAGGTTGGCCTTGTCTGTCTCACTGACGGCACGAAGGGCTGCCAGCTGCTGCTCAAGGTCCTGTGCTTTGCTTGCAAGCTCGGATTCACGGTGCTTGCTGTCATCGCTGGTGGCGTCGAGGCGTCGCTCGAGCTCCGCAATGCGGTCCTTCAGCTCGCCCTGCACCTTGCCGTGCGTCGCCTTGCTCTCCGCAAGTGCCTCGTCCATGGCTCGCTTGTCTTCCTCCCGCAGCTCCTGCAGCTTCTTCTGCTGCGCCCGCAGCGCTTCCTCCTCCCGCGCTGCCTCAGCAACAGCGCCCTCAAGCCGCTTCACCTCCCCGGCATGCGCCTGCTTCGCCTCCTCAAGCTCCCGCCTTGCAGCATCAGCGCCCTTCCGCGCGTCCTCAAGAGCTTTCTGCGTCTCCTCAAGCGCACCTTGCGTCTTGCGCTGCTTCTCCGCGCTCGCCGCTGCGTCCTTCTCAGCCTCCTCCGCCGCTGCATTGAGCCGTTGATTGAGCTGCGCGATGGTGCTGATGAGTGAGGCCACGTCACTGTCATGCGTGCGCTGAGTGGCGGCAGCGGCTGCTTGGTGCTCGTCCACCATGGCTTGTAGCGTGGCAACGCGTTCCTTGTGCGCCGCCACGGCTACCTGGTGTGTTTCCTTGCTCTCCCTCATTTCCTCCTCCAGCTCGCTTCGACGCTGTTCAAATGCCTCGCGCTCTTTCGTCCGCATCTCTTTGCTGTGGTGCAGCTCGTCCCTGACGGCGGCGAGTTCGGCTGCGAGGCGCTTGGTGTCGCCGTTGGTCGCTGCTGCCGCTGCTGCTGCCGCCTCTTCCTGCTTGAGCGACTCTGCCCGGAGCACCTCGGCCTCCTTCTTGGCGGCGGCGGCGGCCTGCTCTGCTGCTTCCAGCTGCTGCTTCAGATGCGCAATGTCGTCCTGCTGCTCCTTGTTGGCGGCGTTGGCGGCCCTCAGCTTTCTCCGCAGCTCCGCGATGCGCCCGTGCAGGCCTTCCACAACCGCTACGCACACATGTGGAACACAGGGGGGGGGGAGGCGAACAAAGGGTGAGCCACATGGAGTGTGTGCGTGCGTGCGTGTGCGTGCGTGCGTGCGTGCGTGTGTGTGTGTGTGTGTGTGTGTGTGTGCGTGTGTGTGTGTGTGTGTGTGTGTGTGTGCGTGTGTGTGTGTGTGTGTGTGCGTATGAAACCGAGTGGCAGGGGTCGTAGTACAGTGGAAGCCCCATGCAGGAGCGACGACACGAGAGAGGGTGTTGTGCATTCGCAAATGGATGACTGACCAATGTTACTGAGCGACTCTGCATCGAGGCCCTGCACGTGACATCGTGAAGAGGACAAGAGAAGGGGAGTGGGCGAAGGAGGGAGAGGGGCGCATTGCAGCGGTGCGGAGCATGTGAGAGGAGGAAGAGAGAAGTGAATGGGATGCAGAGGATGTCAACAGTTGGGTGCATGGAAATGGGGAAAGGGGAGGGGGACAGGGAGGGAGGGAGGGAGGGAGAGTGACGTGAGCATGCACAACACACACACACACACCCTCGCACACACACACACACACACGCACGCACACACACACGCGCGCGCGCACACACACGCACACACACACAAGCACAGCGCACCTCCTTCCATGAGCCGTCGGGTGCGTGTTCGGCGAGCCAATGGTACAAGGTGTCAAGCTGCTTGCGTTGCGAGGAGATTGTGTGCTCATACTCATCCTGAACTCCCTTAACGCTGACGCTGCCCACCGTGTCTGCGTTGAGCAGCTCTTGGATGATGGCGTCGGCTGTTGCTGCCAGCCTGTCCACTCTCTCCGTCTGCGCATCCCAGGTCCACGATGTGCTCGTTGTGGCTGTTGTCTCTGTGCGGGATGAATTGGATGCGCTGGACGCCACATCATTGCGGTGGCACGTCTTCGCCTCGCCTACAACGCGGGCCGCATTCTCACCATCATCATCATGCTCTCCATTGTCTTGACGGCCACTCCCAACCCCAACCGCCGCCCCCGCTTCTCCAGCGCGTTTCCGGCGTGGCATTGGGCCGCTGTTCTTGTGTTCGCTCTGTCTCCTCGTTGCTGTTTGCTTGCCTGCAGGCACGTCTCTTGCTCTCTCTCGTCTCGATGTGTGTGTGTGTGTGTGTGTGTGTCTTTGCGGTCTGAGTGTTTGTGTGTTTGTGTGATGATGTGATGATGATGTGGATGTGGATGTGATGTGAGCCATGAATAAAGTGATGAGTGTGTCTGCTCGCGCAAAACGTTCCTCTCAACACAACAACGGCAAAACACAAACAACTTCGCTGCAGTTCGCAGCTTGTAGACAATTTGCATTATTTTATACAATTTTCGGCGCAACACTCAGCATGGCGGATCGCGAGTGCCTGCGCTGGGGACTGCTCACCAAGCAAGGTTGGTGTGATGAAGGATGATGTTGCTTGCGTGAACGGACAAGGAAGCGTGATGATGGAGATGATGAGCGGGAGGGGGGTGGGTGGCGGTGGTGCGCGCAGACGGCACCATTGACTGGGTGCATGTTGTTGCTGCGTGCCTATCGTTGGTGCAGGCTCACATTTACATGCATACACACAAATACATACACACACATATGCGCGATGGTGGTGTGCAGGTGGAAGCGTTCGCACATGGAAGAAGCGGTTCTTCATCTTGACGAGGGAGAACGACGAGCTCAAGTTCTCATATTACAAGCCCAAGGGAGCGTCAACTGGGCGAAAGAAGAAGGCGTTTGCCTTTTTCAGTGGCAAGAAAGAGGCGCCCACCCCGCCCACGTCGCCCGCAGTGGACGACAATCCCCACCTCTACACGGACGACCATCCTCTCGGTGTGTGTGTGTGTGTGTGTGTGTGTGTGCTTGCGTGTGTGCTTGCGTGTGTGTGTGTGTGTGTGCTTGCGTGTGTGCTTGCGTGTGTGCTTGCGTGTGTGTGTGTGTATGCTTGCGTGTGTGTGTGTGCTTGCATGTGTGTATTTGTGTACTTGCTTGTGTGTGTGTGTGTGTGTGCGTGTTTGCTCTCTTTTATCTCTCCCTCTCTGTCTGTGTGTCTCTCTGTCTCTCTCTATCTGTTTGCGTGTGTGTGCGTGTTCGCGCGTGTCACAGACCAGTCTGCCTACGATGACTGATGGTGCAGCAATGCTGTTGGGGATGCAGGGTGCTTCTATTTGAGCAGGCTGCAGTGCTTCCATGTCTATGAGATGCCGGAGAAGGGCAAGCGCATGCTTCGCATCTTCGCAGAGCAGCGCGTTTTCTACATGTTTGCCGACACGTAAGTGGTGTGGATGAGTGGCAAGACGCACGACAGCGTGCTTCGTGACGTGTCCCTGTGCGACTGTGCGTGTGTTGGCGGCCTCAGCCATGCATTTCCTTAACTTGAGTGTGTATGATCATGGTATCGCGTGTATACCAGGGACCAAGAGCTGGAACCGTGGATCTATGCGATACGAGAGACGCTGCAAAGCATCGACACAAAAGGCAACTTGGTCCGTCTCAGCGGTCGTGCGTGCGTGGGAGGAGTCCAGGGACTGAGCGGTGGTATCCGACACACGTAGGCATGTATTCTGGTCATCTCATGTCGTGAATACACATATGGGTGTCTGTGTGTGTGCCTGTGTGTGCCTGTGTGTCTGCGTGCAGGCTGCGCCCATTCGCATGAAAGGAGAACTAAAGAAGCGGCCGTCTCTTCGCCGATGGTACACTACCCACACTCTGCTCATATGTACTTGCGTGTATGTATGTATGTATGTACGTACACCTCTCTGTATGTGTGTATCTGTGTGTGCGACGCATGTTCTGACGCGTGCGACTGCGTTGTCAGGTTTGTGCTGAGCGGGGATGTGCTGCTGTATTATCCGCCCGACACACAAGCAACCGTCGACCCGCGAGGTATGTGTGTAAATCCTCGTCTCGTACATATGTGTGTGCATGCCTCTGTGCGTGCATCAGCAGCAGTCGCAGCAGCAACAGCCCATAAGTTGCCGTCACGTTTCAACCTCCATGCCGTCACGCCTGCTGTTGCATATTCTGTGTTAGGTGCGTTTGTGGTGGAAGGCGCCACAGCGTTCCCAATCACCACCGAATCTCCAAGCGCTTTTGACTTTGACATCAGATGCAAAGTGGGTTGAATAGAGAGAGAGAGAGAGAGAGAGAGAGAGAGTGTGTGTGTGTGTGTGTGTGTGTGTGTGTGTGCAACACGTCATTCAACGACGTCCTCACCCGGAGCCCGCTCACCTTTCACCGTCATCACTACCATCGCCACAGCGCCACACGCTGCGACTATCTGCGCCGTCGTACCTTGAGCGCCAGCTGTGGCTGCAGCATCTTGAGACTGCGGGCTGCACCGTGCTCCCCCACCCGCCACCATCGCTGCCATCATCGTCGTCGCCATCATCATCACCGCGTGGCGCTCGCAGACACAATGGCCCAAACATGGACAACGTACGCACGCACACACGCAAAAGCACGCACACACACACACATAAAAGCACGTACACATGCACACGTTTCCCCACGTGCGTGTGTGTGTGTGTGCGTGCTTTTGTGTGTGTGTGTGTATGTGTGTGTGTGTGTCGGTCGACAACCTTGCATGCATTGCCGCTCACTACCACCACTACCACCACTGCCATCACCATTATTTGTCCCGCCCGCCCAGATGGACTCGGATGCGAGTGATGATGACGAAAGTGAGGCGGGGTTACCGCCAGCACTGCGCACATGTACGCTCATGCGTTGTCATCATCATCATCACAGTGTCATGGTGCTGATATGCCCGCAATAGGCGCCATGCTTGCACATTGGCGCACATGCAATACGCAACACACTATCAAGAACATGCACACGCAAGCACCGCACACTCATCTCACCGACGTCCTGCCAAACACTCGCCCACCAAACACACCGCCACACGACGCTCATTCCAGATGAGATTCCTGTCACGCGCGACGTGCGCGCCCGAACAGCGCCACCAGCAAAGACTAACGTATGTTGTTGTTGTTGTTGTTGTTGTTGTTGTTGTTGTTGCTGTTGTTGTTGTTGTTGTTGTTGTTGTTGTTGTTGTTGTTGTTGTTGTTGTTGTTGTTGTTGTTGTTGTTGGTGGTGGTGGTGGTGGTGCTGCTGCTGTTGGTGCTGTTGATGGCGTGAATGCACACACACATACACACGCACGCACGCACGCGCGCGCATTTGCACACACATGCATTCACGTACCCTCACTCGCACACGCGCACACGCCATCGCGTGCACAGTCAATGCTGCCGACACGCGATGCGTTCAACGTGTGGGCGGCGCCAACGTTCTTGGACGTTCACAACGCATTTGAGCCTGCGTGCCTCGCCTCTCTTCTCAAGACAAGACAGCAGCAGGAGGTGGGATACCAGAATTGCTGTGCCGAGTTGTTGGTCCTTTCTCCACTCGCTGTGATGACCACTGTCACTGTCTACACATATCCTCACTCTTTGATGCACTTGCCCAATTCTTACACACACACACACACACACACACACACACACACACACACACACACACACACACACACACACAAACGTATGCTCACTCGCCTAATCTCTTCCTCCCTCACCCACATACACTCTCTCGAACACGTCCCAGCTTCTGAACATGAGCACGACGGGCATGAACGCTGCGACCACGGGCACATCGCCACCGTCAACATCATCGCAGCCATCATCATCATCATCATCATCACAACCACCATCGTCATCGTCGTCGCGCCCCAACGGCGGGGAGCGGCCTGATCTGCTGCGGCAATCGCGCGTTGACTCTGTGGGCCTCAAGTCGCTCAGTGTTCGCTGGGCGCGCACAGCATCGCAGCCGGCATCGTCAGACACGCTGCAGCGCGCAAGGAAGAACAGGGGCGCGGCTGTTGGTGGTGGTGGTGGTGGTGGTGTTGGCGGCACGGCGATGAAGGCTGTGAAGGAAGGTGTGGCGGTGGAGAGCGGTGGTCGTGGGGACCGCGTTGGTCATGGTCATGGTGTCGAGGATGATGGAGATGATAAACAGCAGCAGCAGCAGCAGCAGCAGCAACAACAGGAACAGGAGCAGCCGCAAGCGCCGCCACGACGACACCGCAGGTCAAAGCCTGGCCGCCCGTCCTCGTCATCCTCGCCGTCGTCTTCGCCGCAACTACCACGTGCATCACAACTACAACAACAACAACAACAACAACAACAACAACAACAACATAAGAAAAAGGTGGCAGACTTGCCGCCGAGCAATCCGTTCTCGCAGTCGGCGATGGAACAACACGACCAGCAACAGCAGCAGCAACAGCAGCACCAGCAGCAGGAGCAGGAGCAGCAATGCCAATGACAGCGTGTGTGTGCATGTGCGTCTGCATCTTTGTCATGTCATGCTCTGCAATACACAGAAAGTCGTTAATGACTCATTGTGATGACTCATCCACGTTTCGCTGAGTCCTGCCACTGACACACCACACATTGACACACACACCTGTCACACACAACACATTGACACACACACACAACACTGAACCACACCACACATTGACACACACAACACTGAACCACACCACAGACACCCAAACACACACATACACAACACGCATTTCCCCCTCTCCCTGCTTCTCCCTGCTTCTTGGCGTGTCGTCGACTATGGAGGCCGTTGCTGTACGAACACTTGGTTATGCAAGTGTGCATGTGCACTGCTTTACTGTGAGCGACCAGCACACCATGGACCAGGTGCACGGAGCCCTGCGTGTGGCGGCAGTCACAAACAACCACCTCCGGGGAGAGCACGAGGAGCTGGACTATTCCGAGAGGCTTAGGCCTCTCCATCATGAGGCGTTTGGAGACCGGTTCACCAGGCACTTGGTCGACCAACGGCCAGCCTTGGACACCTTGAAGGCCACCATACACCCCGACGAAGGGTACGCAATGCCGTGCCGCAGTTTGTTGCTTGTCCCCTTGTTCCCGCGATCGCTCTTATTGTTTCCGATGCAAACAAGCAGCCACAAGCCACCTTGTTCTTCCGATCCCTCACAAGTTGCCTGTATGCACGTCTCGTGCCCTGTCGTTCCGGCCGTGTGCTTCTCGCTTCTCTAGATGCGAGGTGTCTGGCCTCATCGATGAATACGAGGGGCATTACATGACTGGCGAAATGTACTACCACGCATCAGGTCACGCGGCCGTGATCCGGAGAACATCCCCTCGCTCAAGGTGGATCGACGTGCTCGTGCCACGAGGAACAAGCGACGAGACGGTGGGTGCGCAAGCTTGCCTTCCCTTATGACTGTGCAGTGGAGGTGTTTTGGTGCTGGCCATTCGCGTGGTCGCTGTTGGTGTTGGTGTCATTGATGTCGATGTGAATGGTCTTGACAGGGCGGCAGTCACGCTTGGCACCTCACCTCCATTTGTTGTCTTTTTCTCTCTCTGCCCACCCTGAAATAGGTGCGGGATGCCATACACGAAGAGCAGAGGGCACATGTCAACCGAAAACCACCGGTGCGTTGGCAATGCGCGCGCGTGTGTGTGCGTGTGTCTGTGTGTCTGTGTGTGTCTGTGTGTCTGTGTGTGTGTGTGCGTGTGTGTGCATGTGTGCGTGCACGCGCTTGTGCAATGATCCACACATCTCTTCGCACGCACACGCACTCTCTCATGCACACGCGCGCTCTCATCCACACACACACGCACGCACACACACCCCATATGATTTCAGGTGGTGCCAGTTCCAGTCGCGCGCATGCCCTGGTTCAGCCCCTCATACCAATGGCACTCAGCACAGTTCTCTCTCGGCTTCCTCATGGACAGCAAACTGCGGTGGCACCATGTTGGGGGAGCAGGTGTCAACGCGTACACGGCAGACATCACCAACAGCGACATTGACCTCGCCCAATTCATCCGCACATCCCTCCGTGAGAGCGGCCTCCGTGTCACGCGCGTCACGCTGTACAGATCCGAGTCCACCCTCAACGGTTTCCACTCCCACAACCACAACCTCATGCATCGCTATTGGAATGGCCACGGCAACCCGGTCCTTGCTACCTTTCCGGTACCAGACGAACTTGAGCCGCACGTGTGCGTGTGCAACACTTCATCCCCCTTCCCTGGTTACTGTGCCCCGCGCATCATGCTCGCATGGCATGGCACGACAGATTCGCAAGCGTCACGCAGCATCATGCTGACTAACCTGGCCAACTACTGGCAGCAGGGGAGAGAAGACACGGCATACTTTGGCAGTGGCATGTGCTTCACACCGCAGCCAGATTATGCAGCCCATTACTCAATGTTCCGAGGCACACGCGACTACCCCAGCCATGATGGCAACAACGATGACGGGAGTCATGACGAGAGTGATGACGGGAGTGATGATGGTGCGAGCGAAGCCACCGAAACCAGTGGCACCACAAGTGCTGATCGAGTCAGTGAGATCAGCGATGCTGGTGATTCAAACGATGGCGTTGGTGGTGTGACTGCCAACGCCGTTGCAGCTGTTGCTGCTTGCGATGATGATGATGATGATGATGATGATGATGATGATGATGATGACGACGACGACGACGACGATGACGGCAGTGTTGATGCTGGCAGTGTTGATGGCACTGCTGGTGGCGGTGGAGGGGTTGTGCGAGATGAACGCGGTGCTGGTGACATCGGCAGAGGTGATAGAGGTGATGATGGTGCTCACGATCATGCCGACAGTGACGGCTGTCAGCAGCCAACACAATCAGCGCAACCAACAATACGGTCGACAGCACATCCAACAGCACACCCAGGCGTGGTCAGGCTTGTGCTGTGCGCGCTCTCCCTCGGAAACACTCGGGTCATCACACGAGACGACTATGTACCGTCCCCTCACATCCCACAGCATGAGCAGAGCGGGGTCATGCATGAGTCACTCACCGACATGTACCAGTCCCACTACGCGCGCGTGGACGAGAATTGCCACTGCCCGGCGCCTGGCAAACTGTGGCACTATGAGGAGATCATCATCCCACAGGAGAGCCAGATTCTGCCGCTTGTGGAGGTTCATGCAACGTTCACAGGCCCACAACCACGACCCATGCCCATCTTTAGGCGACAGCAGCACGTTCCCGCTGCAGATGGTGAGGGCGATGGTGGTGTCAGTGACAGCGAGTCACGCGACACGCCTGAGACCCCCATTACACCTGAGGTGCAGCAGGAATAGCAGCATTCTCGCTGTGCGTGATTGTTTGTTTGTTTGTGTGTGTGTGTGTGTGTGTGTGTGTGTGTGTGTGTGTGTGTGTGTGTGTGTGTGTGTGTGCGCGCGTGCGTGCGTGTGTGTGTGTGCGTGTGTGTGTGTGTGACTTTGTTCGTTTCACCTCGTTTGGAACCATGCATGATCGTTCACAAGCAGCAACAGCTGCGTTTTGTTCTTGCTTGTCTACTTGTCGTTTGACCCTTACTTTCTCCTGCTTTACCCTTTCCCTTGCTACATCATGCTTCGGCCTCTGCACACACTCTCTCTGTTTTTGTGTTTCCATCCAACCATGCGTTCATCACGTCACGGTCGTGTGCGCGCGCAAGGCTGAAGCGTAGCTTTCAATTCATCAGTTACGAACAACTCAATAAGAGAAGAAACGGTAACAACCAAGCACATCGTGCAATGCAATAGCAGACAAGAACGCACACACACACACACACACACATACACACACACACCATCAAGTTGACTAGGGAGCGAAAGCAAGAAAGAAGCGCAGAGCGCATATACATACACACATGAGAGGGAGCAAAGCGGAATAAAGTGTCATCACACACACTTCGACAGACAAGCGACACATACCGAACAACCATGAATGTCAAGAAGCTGTCATATGGCGACACACACGACACACGACGTATGCAGACACACATGCACTCACACAATGTACACTCACACAAGTCACAACGAGACAGCTACTCTGCTGCCGCCGCTGCTGCCGCCTGTTGTTGCTGTTCGCGCGTGATGCGAATAATCTCACGCATGAGCTTCAGCACAAACCGCCCGTGGTGCTCTTTCAACAGCTGCACAACAGCACCGTCAAACTCCGGCAGGGCGTAGTCCGCCTTGCACTCCTCAGCGACAGCAGGGAAGAGGGAGGAGAAGAGATTGGGGACAACAGCGCCCTCGCGGTGGCGGGAGCGGCTCCACACGCCGACGTAAGTTGTGGTGTCGTCTTCCTCGTTCTGAATGGCCACCACTTGCTGTCGCATGCGGTACGCCTTCATCGTGTTGAACCTGCAGGCAGATGTGTGTGTGTGTGTGCGTGTGTGTGTGCGTGTGTGTGTGTGTGTGTGTGTGTGTGTGTGTGTGTGCGTGTGTGCGTGCGTGTGTGTGTGTGTGTGTGTGAATCACTGGCTGCGCGATTGAGACAAGAGAGACAGGGCAGGCCAACGGCGACACGTGAACAAATCCCGCAACACAACCACACACACACACACACACACACACACACACACACACACACACACGCACGCACACGACGGCACACCTCCTGACGTCGACGAGGAATTGTGCGAGTTTGGTAAGCATGGCTGGACGCGTGAAGAAGCGCTTGGACTCCGTGCGCACCATCGCAAGATGCCAGCGTTGCTGATGCCCAGTCAAGTTCATGACATGATATGGTGGGACGTGAGTTGGCAGCCGGTGTGAGCGAGAACGTGTATGTGTGTGTATGTGTACATGTATGTGTGCACGTGTGTACATGTACGTGTGCGGGAGTTCCGCGGCATCAGTATGTGTTCAAGCAGCCTTGACACGAGAAGGAATGACTCACCCGTGGACCAGTGTCGTCCTGGAATGCAAACTGCACCTGGTTCATCACAGCCATCTCCTAAGCAAACGAACACACACACACACACACACATGACCAATAACCACACACACACACACCCCCCACACACAATCAGTCAACACAAGCAGATGGGTTTGCAGACGAGGTAACAACAAAAATAACCAACCAAACAAACAAACACATGAACAAGCACGTACAACCCCCCCCCCGGCCACACACACACAAACACAAACGAGCGAACAGCCAGACCTGCTCCTTTGCGCAGTGGACGCCGAATTCAAACACGTCTTTCTTGCGCATGGACAGGCAGTCCAGTGCCTTGAACACGCGCCGCTGCACGTCCTCCTCGGGTGCAGTGTGATTGAGAATACCGTTGACGGCATACACCACATCTGACGCCGCCACGGCAGGCTCGTAACCGGTTCGGTACGTAAACGACAGAAACGTGATTGTGTCGAGACCATATGCGTGCCCGTGTTCTTTCAACTGCTCCAGAATGTGTGCCTTTGTTGCCGTGTCCTGTCACAATGTGTGTGTGTGTGTGTGTGTGTGTGTGTGTGTGTGTGTGTGTGTGTGTGTGCGTGTGTGTGTGTGTGAATGGGAGCAGGTTGTGAGCAAGCACGCAGCGTTTGCATACGCACACGCACATACGCTTTGACATGCAAGCATTTAAGCTGCGTACCAGTGTTTTGTAGACTTGTTTGCACGTCTGGAGGGAAACGCCCATTGTGGCAAAGAGATGACGCAATCGCTCTTCGCCCTTGTTGGTCCACACGGGGATGCGTGACACAAGATACCTGCCCAAGAATCAGAAGATGGTGAGAAGTGACGAGCATCACCATGGAGCTTATGAATACACCTTCATCGCGCGGACGTTGACGTACAACTCGACAGAAACACATGCATGCACATACATTACAACGCATCAGCCCGCGAACCACCACCACCACCACCACGGATGCTGTTGCCACCTGGAGTGTCTCATGGCGTCAAAGAGGGTCCAGTGTCTGAGGAGAAAGAACTTTGCGTCCTCCTCCACAGCGAGCGATACGCCACGGTGCCGCCGACTCTCCTCCTCGCTGATGGCGATGATGGTGGTGATGGTGTGATGGTGGTGATGGTGGTGGCGGTTGTTGAAGGAAGGGTGTGAGAGATGAAGTGCTTTGTGCACACGGTCCAAACACACACACACACACACACACACACAGGCACACACATGAGCACGCACACGCACGCACGCACACACACACACACACACGCACAAGGACACCTACGAACAGAATCCAATGGCTCAACAGCGCGCTTGCACACGTATGCGCACCTGTTGAACTTGAGGATTTCTGACTGGAGCGTGAGCGCCTGTTGCACGTACATATCACTGCACATACGCACGCACGCACCATAGAAATATGAGGATGATGACAATCGTCCACAACCAGACAACAAAACCAAAGCATCCATATCCAGCACTGAGTCAAACCAAAGAATGTATTCACATCTAACCAAACCCAAGCACCAACCCAATCCACCCAGCCATCCATCCATCTGTGCACGCGCACCTGCTGATCTTGTCGTGGAGGTACTGGTCGGTGAGACCGAGAGCGCTACACCAGAGAAACGCGTTGCTGCTGCGCCCAAGCTCGCTGACGAGGTGACCAACCAACACTGCTGACGACACGCCGTAGTATGCTGCCTCGTAGTACGACCGCAGCCGCTGCTGTTTGGCGATTCGCGCAGCCATCCGGTCCCCCCACTGCAGTGTGTGTGTGTGTGTGTGTGTGTGTGTGTGTGTGTGTGTGTGTGTGTGTGTGTGTGTGTGTGTGTGTGTGTGTGTGTGTGTGTGTGTTGGCAGGGTCAGAAGGAAACACTGGCGCACGAGCACACACCAACACAAACAAAAAAAAAAAACACAAACGCGCGCGCACAGACGCATACAAACAAGCAAGCGGACCTTTGTTCGCTTGGCGCCCGGCTCGCCGGAATCCGTGTCCTCATCCTCGTCCTCAGAATCGCTGTCGGCGACTTCCTCGGGCTGCGGGATGTTCGTCTACACATTCCAAGATGAGGCGAGAGGGTGTGAGGTGATAGCGACAGTGGTGACGTGTGCAATGTGTGATGGTGAATGGTGGTGTGAAGTGAGGGCGATGGAGTGGGTGTTGCCATCGTTCTTGTGCAAGTGTCAATGCGTGCGCAGACACACCAGCGCAAGAGGCATTATTCACACATGTGAGTGTGCGTGCGAATCCAATTACCTCGCCATCATCAAAGACACGGATGTTTTCGGAGTAGACGTTGTCGAGGTTGAGGGGTCGGTGCGAATCGAGAACGTAGATGCACAGGTCCTCTTGCTCCTCGTCGCTCAAATCCAACACTTGGGCCACATCAACGGTGCCGCCGCAGTTGATCATCAACACAACTTTGATCTGGGATGTGGTGGACACACACAGACAAGCCAAGACGTCGTGTGTTCGTGTGTTCGTGTATTTGTGCGTGCGTGTGTGTGAGGTGCAAAGCAAAGCGATTCGATCAACAGGCTACATTGGATCAGCTGAATGTCTAGGTCAGATGTGCCCAAAGGACGCAGTGCTCACACACAACACATGTGCGTGAATGGGAAGCCGTACCTGTCCTTGGCTCTCCTTGATTGTTGTCTTTGAGTTTTCGAGGTCCACTTGGTTCTCCACAGACATCATCTTGTACTTGATGTACTCTGCTCGCAATAGGTCCTACAAAGGCACCAAGCGGCGTGTGTTGTAAGCAATGGGGGAAGCAGAGAATGGCAGGATGACAAAGCATCCACGCCTCAAGAAGCACAATGGCGCCACACACACACACACACACACACACACACACACACACACACACACACACACACACACACACACACACACACACACACACACACACACACACACACACACGAGCACGTTTGGACGCACCTTCACCATGTGGTAAGCGCACAATGCGTCGCAGTCTGCTGCGACGAGGATGAGCACAGAACAGCCATCGCTCAACGCACGCTTCCGAATGTCATCAAAGGCGTTGGCAAACCGGTCGGTCGTGATCCTCATCCTTGCGCTCAACTGCTGCTGCTGCTGCTGCTGCTTGTTGGTTACGTTAAGTTACGGTACGCTGCAGTGTGCACCACTTCTCTTCCTTCTCCTTTGGCGTCGTGCACTTGCGTCTGTATTCGCCTCACAGCAACGCCTGCCTATCTGCACCCACCAGCACCCACCACCACGCTGTTGGCTGGACGTGTCTCTGCTTGTCTGTCACCAGCCACCAACGACACAACAATGGGCTGGAATGGAAGCCTCACCACCACAGCACACGGCCGCACAGCAGTCTCACGACCTGTGTCGGTCGTTGTTTGTTTGGCGCGCGGCACACACAGGCAGGGAGCTGGTTTGAACGGTTGGCGCCAAGGGACGATTGAATGAATAATGCGCACTTCTGCTCTTGTTGTTGGTGCGAAACATACACTGTCTATCAATTAGGGCGAACCGCCTGCCCGATCCCGTTAGCTGTGCATCAAACCTTTCCAGAACACAAACAAGAAAACTTGAACGACAGCGACGACAGCGACAACTGGCTGGTGTTTGGTCCGTGTGTGCGTGGGTGTGTTGCTTGCTTAACAGCAGCTGCTGTTTGTTGTTGTTGTTGAGAACAACGCCGCTCACATCAAGGCATCAAAGGACGCTCTCATCATCTCAAAGGGACGCTCTCATCAAACCAAAAAACAAGCTGACTAAGGCCACAATCACCCGCTGGTCTACGCCACGCCTCGTGTGTCTGCTGTTCATTTCCCTGTTGAGTAGTAACATAACAAGAGACGAAGCAGAACTAGAACCAACAGCAACAGAAAACAACACCCAGCAGAACCAGCAGACAGACACAGCACCACCAACAGAAACAACATCCAGCAGAACCTGGAAGCCAGCAAGCAGAGAGCAAAACAAGGATGTTGTTGGAGGTCAAGGCGATGCACTCGCAGCGCGTTGTGCTGGAGGATGTTGACACGAGCGAGGACTTCACCGTGGGCGCCGTGGTGGAGGCGCTGCAGCAGAGCGGCCGCATCCCAAACCAGCTGGTGGAGACGGCCAGGAAAGACCTAGCACTGGTCATCGTGCGCCCGAACGACGGCGCATGCCTTGTCCCTTCGCAGGCGCAAACATGGTCGTCCCTCGAGATCAAGCCCGAGGACACCCTCATGCTCATTTCGCGACACGAGGAAGCCATGCACCTCCTGCAGTTTGAGGTGCGTGCATAGACGCGTTTGTATGTGTTGTGCGCGTACCTCTGTGTGTGTGTGTGTGAGAGAGAGAGCTTGAGGTGTGTATCCGGTCTGGTGGCAGTGCTTGCACACACACACACACACACATGCGAACACACACATACACATACACATACATGCATGCATTGTTCATTGCACCACGATGGTGACGACTTGCCCATTGTTCGGAGCCTTTGAAAGCCAGACACGTGTATCCCTTCCCTTGCAGCTCCCTCGCACTTTCTCACATTTTCTCACATTTGCTCACACTTCGCACTTGATGTCGCACCCCACCGCACATTTTCTCCGCCGTCCATCCCCCGCAGCACACGACCTCCGAGGTGGTCATGATGACGCAGCTGAAGCAAGCGCAGCGGCTGGGCCTCCTGTCCTCGGAAGAGTACCGCGTGCTCGTCCGCATCGCACGCGACCAGCACCACCCCCTGCACACGGGCCTGCGCCACATCCACGCCGCCTTTGGCACGGACCTGCAGGACCTGGTGGAGGAGGCACGCGATCTCCTCATGACATCCGGCGCGTCGGGCCTGGTGTTTGACGGGCGCGAGCAGCAGCAACCGTCACCGTCACCGTCCCAGACACAATCGCACCCACCATCACTCTCCCAGTCGCAATCGCAACAGCCGCCAAAGTCACAGCAGCAGTCACAGCAGCAGCGCCCTGCACGGCCGCAAGCACAACATGCGCAGCCGCCCCCATACTCAACAGCAGCGAACACCACCAGCGCAGCCAGCACGAGCAACAGCAAGGCTGCCAGTGGCAGTGGCAGTGGTGGTGGCGGCACTGGGCGCACGCGCGTGTTTCTGCAACACGTGCCACCGACAACACAGCATGACATCATGTGGATGATGAGCACGCTGATTATTGCGTTTTTCTCGTTTATGGCCATGATGACGCACGTGTTCTTCATCAAGGAGAGCAGCGTGTTTCTCGGGCCGGTCATCCACGGCCTGGCGGGCCTGCTTGCCCTGTACGAAGTGTTTGGGTGCAGGTCCCTCTTGGGCTACGACCCCTTTGTCCATGCCATTGGACACGGCGTCCGGGATTTTCTGCTTGTGGCGTTTACGTTCAACGCAACGCTGGACATGTATGCGTTTGCAAACGCGCCCCACCTCACCTTCTCCACGCTGACAACCAACTTCTTTGGCGTGCTGGTGACGCTGGTGTGGCTGATTGCGCTTCGCTGCTCCTGGAAGTCGGCGCCGGAAGCCGATTCCGTCATGGCCCTCACGCTCTCGCTTATGACCCTCTTCTGCACCTCTGTCATCCACAACCTCGTCCACCTCGACCTCACACCCGCGCCCATCTGACATGCTGCCTGTTTGTGATGTGCTGTGTTTGTGTGTTGGGTGTTGGGTTTAGGGGTTGTCTTTGTCTGTCTGTCTGTGTGTGTGCATGCGTGTGCGTGTGTGTGTGTGTGTGTGTGTGTGTGTGCACAGTGTGACAGCTGATCTTTCATCATCTCTTCCTCTGCATTCTGCTACCTTCCTGTTACACAATCACGCACATGCACATGTGTACACGTGCGCTCCTGCGCAGCTGGGTGCACGTCGCTGAATCACCCTTGATCTGTTCATGCACTTTCGTTTATTATTCTTCGCTTAGAGCCGGCAGTTACCATTACACCTGAAATGATATAGATGTACACGGACAAGGCACAACACTGAACACATTCACGCACACACACACACACACCACACACACACACACACACACACACACACACAC